CCAATTTGTAATCTCCCAACAGCTTTTTCATGTAAGTCATAAAAATGACAAATTTGAGGACAGAAGGTAGCAGAATGACACCAACACAGAAGGGAGGGAGTGGTCTGTGATATCGCAGGCTGAGATTTCATAGATTAAGAATTTGGAAAATAATCTAAGGTCAGACCATCAAGGCACTCTGTTCCTGTCCATCTCAGCTTTTACTTAGCCAGCGCATAAGGAGCTTTAGTTTGGAGGTGACAAAGTAGATATAACCACAATCAGATAATGAACTACAGCTTTGTATTGGCAGTAGCTTAGGTATTTTAATTCACTTAATTCCTGGCTCCACCTCAGTGAGAAAAAGCAAGGGAGACACAGTAAGTACCACCACTGTGCTTGGTGAAAAATCCACCTTGCTGCCATTCCTAGGTAGAGTCATATTAGGAAAGTTCAGTAATTTAAAATATCGGCCTTTACTTCTGAATTTCAGAGAATGGAACTTCTAATGGCATTGAGAGCTCGTTTAAGTCCGCTGAAGTCAACCAGCTTTGTCACTTGAAAACACTACACCCTGACCTCAAACCTCAGCCAAAGGAGACATGTAACTACCTGAGAAATACCTCTAGAACCTCTCCTAAAAAGGAAAGTCAACTGCAGTCGTAAATTATTGTATCACCTTTGAATAGTATGTTTAGCGTTAGGTCAAACCCTAATAGAGCAGTTGTAGCTGCGCAAGCTCCACAGTCTAACATTGATCTGGAAATGCAGTGTGAGCCATTGCTAGTGCTGTCCTGAATGAAGTTGTCTTTCAGGGAAACTAGGTTTATTTTTAATTCCCTGCTTTTACACATGCTTGTGTAATGTCATCCTACTAGATAGTAAGATAACGTTAAATATGGTGTCACGTGACTGCAGCACGGAATAGATGGATAGGGTCTAATTCATAGATACGCTGAATTTTTGGTCTTTCACAGGTTCTTTTAAATAACATGTTCCTGTCAAGTAATAAAGGAAAAAATGTTTTTATACTTTTACTTACTAAGGTTTTTTTATTTCTTTTTTTTTTTATTTTAACTCCTACTTTTACTGTAGGTGATGATTTTTATTAGGCTACACAATGAACTACCCTCTTCCTCCCCTCCCAAACAGACTGGTTAGCATCTGTTTGATTCATATGCTGTGACTTTTTCCTGCTGCTTTCTATCAACCTTAATTGTGAAAAATGGTGCCTTGTTGCCCTTTTGATATTATTTTGGAGATTGACTCAGCCTTAAAGTATCCAGATGCGTACAGTTGTACAAATGTCTGTGGAATTAGCTCACTGAGGTCTGGTCCGCAATATTTTTAATTGACTTACATGTTCTGTGGGAAAAGAAGAATCATAAAAAGGCTTTGCTGTAGCATTCCATTCTTCACTAGGGTCTCCCTGGGGGTCTCCATGGATACTGGAGGTATTCAAAGTGTCTGCAGCTCTGTTAAAACTGGTAGAACCTGATTGACAAAAAGGAAATGGTAACAACTGCAATTTAGTCTCTAGGCGCTAATTGTAAAGTAACTAAACTTCTGGTTTGCCTCTGATCTTAAGAAATGGAATATTTTTGTTTTAAATCACTGAATTGCTGTTGTAGGCTTTTCCCTCTTCATTTTTTTTCTTTCACGGCCTTCTGCATCTATTTTGTCTCTAAAGGTGAGGTATGTTTCTACTCTCATTAAAAATGTTTTATAGCATTTTCACATATTAAGTTAATGACAGATTAAAATTGTGATTTACAGAAAAAAGTATGTATTCTGAATATTCTAACTGAATATATTTTTTCCAAACAGTATTGCTTTAAGACTCACCTTCTGATAATGATAATAAAATATGTAATTATTGCCATCCTGATGTGATATTCCAGGGTGACTTGTAATGAAAAAGACATTCTAAATACAAAGGTTTTAGACCAACGACATTTTAAATAAGTTGTCTTTTTGTACGTGGCTATACCTAATATTTCAGGAAATCAGGCTATAGTTATCTACTAAAGGTAGGAAGGGCAAATAAGTAGATTAATCATAGCTGAGAATAAGGCTCCGATCCTGCAACGGCTTTACGCACTGCTAGTAGCCTCCACTGAAACCAGTATCGTGTTCCCTGCCAGATCAAAACATAAGCGTACTTTCACAATTACTCATAATGCAAAGAGCTGTTTTGTCACTACACCAATGCCTGTTGGTCACTGCTACAATAGTAAAAATCTTTGTTTTGCTGTGAAAATACATGTTACCTCACGGTTATGTAACAGTTAATTAAGAATACTGTCATTTTCTCTTGGGAGGAAGAGGGAACCGGTTATGAGTTTGTGTTTGTTTTCTTCTTTAAGAGTTTGCCAGGAAGATCTTGCCCCTTCCCAGTTCATTCCTCCATTTACTGATGTGGAGCGGCTGCTTTCTGGGAACCAGTTGTACGAATAGTAAATAGCGTTGTGGTTAGGCAGTAAAAGGAATTCCCTCAGATAGGCTTACTAAAGTCTTCCACCAATGCTCTTCACCTCTATGTCTCCCATATGGCTAAACTGTTTGTGCTTCAGTAAGTAAAAAAAAACAGAACCAAAATCAAACCCCAAAATTTAGGGACACTGTCCACATGGATTCCACTCCAGGTTTGCTATTTGGGAAAATATCTAAACCCAAAACATTTTAAAACCCCCAGCCCCAATAAATCTTGGAGGCTGTGGTGCTGAGTACCACAATGACTCGTAGGTGCCCTGACAGTAAGGTTCTCTAGTCTCCAAAAGAGGTGCAGGATTCAGAGAGGTCAGCACGCTGAAGTGGGGACCTATCTAATTTAGGCAGTACAGTAAGAGTGAGAGGGACATCTGGGACCCAGACCAAGATCCTCACTGTGAAGTTTTGCTAGAATTCAAGAGGACTGGTGACTGTACTGGTCACAGGGCAATTCATGTGGGGAACTAGAGTTATATTACAGTCCCTACCAACTCCTTCGGATGAACCTCTCAGGAGTTAAGTACTTTGCATACAGAAAGGTTTCTGACAAGAAAAGGAGGAGGAGCACATGGAAGAACTTCAGATAGAACTGTCTGTTCTCACAGAAAAGAGAGATGCAGAACATAACATAACTATGCATTCATTTTCTTGAAACAGGCATCAAAATTCACATTATTAAAAGAAATAATGTACCATCAGATCAGGATTCTGCTACTTTGTTACCACTGCTATTGTTTTAGGGACAAAGACTTTTCTGAAAGCGAACTTCAAAAAACTGCACCTGTATACAAATACACATAGGCAAGAGACCAAGTACAGAAATGAAATTACCTATAAACCTAAATTCATAACACCAGAACAAAAGAAACCAGACTGCTGGTGTTCCAACCCACTGCCACTGCCGCAAAACTAAGGGATGGGAGTCTGTGCTGCTCTGTGGATGTTCCAGGGGCAAAGCTCAAACCATGACATCAGCAAAACCTGAGGTAGACCCAAAGGCCCTGTATTGTGGGTCTAACTCTTTTGAAAAACATCTAAGCACCCAAAGCTCCATTTTTCTACAAAAACAGGTGCTTTCATTTCTTCTAGAGCCTAAGAGATCATCTGCTTTTTTAAGCATACAGTGTGCATTAAGAATAGAAACCACCTGCAAGCTTTATTGTGAGAAAGGAAGGCACCACTTATGTTGTCTTTTACTCTGTCCAGTTACTGAAGTGGAGGAGCTTCACTAAATGTATTGGAGTCAGTTTGCTGTGGAAATAGAGACGATACTTTCATTACTTCGGTAAAAAATTGAGTTTAGAAATGGCACTTTTAGTAAATAAAGATAGGGGTAATCTAGTAGCTAATCTTATTGCAAAACAAATCTAATATACAGTTTTTCCACATTTCAGTAATGATTTAGAAACACATGAAATAAACTTCCTATTTACTGTTTTTCTTATGCAAAATACAGCTCAGCCAATAATCAAGTGCCAACAGTAGGAGATGAAAAAGCTCCTTGAGCACTCTTAACAGCTTCCAGAGCTTCAAAGAATATCAACTTCTTCTTTCACACATTCAGCACATTCAGATGGTTTTAAGTGTCCATCTGAATTAAAGATGTACAACAAAATAAAAAAGTAAACTTTCTCTGAGCCCCATTCAAAAGAAGCATCTACTGGTTGAAAAACTACCCTAATTTTTATGCAAAACGAAGGCACCGAACAATTTCCAAAAGCTGCTTAATGCTTTTCAGGTATGTGCAGAGCCCTGACAGAGTATGCTCTCCATTAGGGTTAGAAATGCCTATGAAAATTCAGCTTGTCACTGCACTGCTTTTCTTTCACACAGGGAAATATGGGAAAATGTATTTAATCAGATAATTGAGCAATCAAAAGCTGTTTAGTTGCATTTATACCATAAATTAACGGAGAAATCTCATGTTTTGATTTTTTTTCCATATAACTAAAATGTCAGAAGGTTTACTGTTTCTAATGCTACACTACGATGCAGAAATTTCACATTTTGATAATTTTTCTAAGTATATTCAGTACATGCTTTAAAATATAAATGCTTATTTTTCTTACCTAATCCAGTTTCTCTTCTGTCAATGTATTCACCGAGATTTTGACACTGTGTTTTTGAAATAACATTTGTGTTTTCCACTAAGCATGGTAGTTGTTTCTCTTTTAAAAGGGAAGGTTCCTCGGAAGCTGAAGCCCATGTAGCTTGACCTCTCATTTGATTTACTCTTGAACAAGAATTGAGGTCTAAAAAATTTAAGTATACTGGAGTTTTCTCAGCTTTTTTTTCTGAGGTTGAAAGATCAAAGGATGACCTTCCACTTATGTTTACTAAATTTCCAGATGTTCTCATGGGTAAAGAGCATGATTCTTTCAGGTGACCCTCAGCAAACTTCCTTCCTGGAACTGTACTGTTCAGTGAGTCTTTTTTCTCTTTTAACAATGTGTTATTTGTTGAATTATTAATCTCCAGGGAATGTCCGTTTTTGATGGAGTGTATCTGAATATCGTCATTAACTTTTTTACATGGAATTAGTTTATCTCTGCTAATTCTATCTGGTGGAGGTTTTTTATAAGCAATTATTTCAAGACCATCAGCCTTTACTGGAGATACAGCTCCAGCGTTCGAAGAATTTGTAGCATTCCCTGTTGGTTCAGTACTGTCTTGTTCGGGTTGCTTGCTGTGCATGTCATCCACGTTTATTCCTCTTTCTATTTTTGGGGGGCAGAGATTGAAAGTACCTAAGAGAGACTTATTATCACTGTGTTCTTTTGTAGCATCATCACCACCTGCATTATCACAATGAACGGTTGGTAGATCTTGAGCATCAGTTGCTGGAACACCAGTACTCCTCAGGGCACCATTTCTGTTTATGTTTTTGGCATTATCATTGTAATTTTTGTCTTCAGAAATGACGTGTGTCTGTTTTAAAGGAAGTTTATCTCTATGTAAACCACTCAGATTTAAGAAGTTTTTTTCTGTGTTATGTAATTCATTGCCTACATAACTGTCACTGTCCAGCAAGCTAGATTCTTGGTGTTCTGTTTGAGAATTTTCTTTAATATAAGATAGGATGCCAAAACTTAATTCCTTAGCTCGATAATTATCTGTACTTCTATCACACACAGTATTCTGAGAGCAAAGAATCACTTCAGACTCGGCTTTGGGTGCTTCGGGTGTCAGGACATTTTTGTGGTGTAGTATGGTATTTGATTTGTCTGCCTTGGTACAATTTGATTCATCTGTAGAATTGCACCATTCTTGCTTGACAGAGTCGGTCTCCTGACTTCCATTTTTCTTGTAGGCACCCATAGTCCCAGTAGTGTCTGGAGAGACCTTTCTTGTTTGTGTGTGGCATGCTGCTAATGGCTCAGTGCTGTCCTGTAGCTTTTGTTCTAAATTTGCATTTTTTTCATTCAGTAACACTCTACGTGTTGCCCCTAGATTTTCTGCTTCTTTGCACTCAGAGACACGTATTTCCGAGGTCTGTCCTTGAGTAATTAAATCAGTATCTGTGCAGAGGGTATTCCTGGGAGAAGACTCCCTTTGCTTTTCTTCATAAGGGCTAGCAACATTAATTTCATCCTTAAAACTGTTTTCAAGAACTTGTAAATCTGTTAGAGTAAGTGTATTCTCTAGTTAGTGATAGATAACCCAGAGGTTAAGTAATGCTTTATGTTTACAGTTTAAAATTTTCAAAGAGATAGACTCAAGATTAGTATCAACACTGATTTTTCTTATCTTGCATTATACACACAAGTCTATCAAAAAGTTACTGAAAATAAGTATTGCATTATGGTAACTTGCAAAATATTTATAAACTGTTCAAACAGAAAATATATTAACAGTTTGTGGATTTTAGGTATGGCTTACAGTTGAAATATTTCCCAACTGTCAGCCTTATTATTGAAAGGAGTCTTCATTACAAAGTTATAACACATGCTTAATCAACCATTGTGTGTCTACATAAAGTTTAAGCCACTGGTTACTACTGCAACTGTATTTGTCTTTGTATTTGAAAGCAGCATTTTTAGCTAAATGGAAAACAAACCCAAAAAAACCCCTGTATAAGGGACTATGTTCATTCCAGAAGGAATACGCTATGACTTGATGGTAGTGGGCCAGTGAGGAACAAGCATTTATTTCGATATCAGAAAGGTGTTTTCTGAGAGAAACACTGGAAGGCTGTGAGCATTGATCCTTTGAAGCAGTCACTCAGCACTTACCTTTGCCATGTTTTAGAGACTGAGCATTAAAGACTAAGTGCATTTCCTTTAGGTGCCTTCAAAAAATTACTTATTGGAGTTACAAAGGGCATTGTATAGAAAAGTATTGTGACTAGCCAGATGACGAGCACTTCATTGTCCTGTGCAGCACAATCACTCTTTTTTTGCCTTTTTCTCATTGTTTTTTAGCAAAGGGAAAGTCCTTGGTTTTGCTTCCAAACACTTCTATACACGTTATAGCTCTTCCTAACCCCTGTTCACTTTTTGAACTGGCATGTAGAAAGAGCTACAGCTTGAGAGGTTACAGCACTTGGATCTCACGTAATGTCTCAGGGCAGCCACTGGGAGTACTGTGCTTTTATTCAGAGCTTTGTGAATTTGTCAGAGATCAGCGCTACTGACACCAAGAATTTTACTGTTGTTAATACAAAAACATTTAATTCAGGATTCAATCATTGCCTTGTCATATACTGTGTCTGTAAACTTTTATCCTTTCTTCAACAATACTACTTATCTCTGTTATCCATATGATGTTATTACTTTGTTCTGGCTGTAATTCCTCAATGCTTAAAGAGTAGTCCATTGTGTTTTTTACTTCAGTTTCTTCTTCATGTCCAAAATTACCATCTTTTCTTATTATAGATTGCACACACTCATTTTCTTTCTGAATAACCTTAATTTCACTGTCTTTTGAGTGTTCTTGACCACTCTGGCATAAGAAAGAACAAAAGATTATACGTATTTTAATGATTTACTACAGTCACCGATTAAAGTTCAGGACTTAGATTTAAAATTGTATTTGCAATTCTGATGCAAAACAAAGACCATTCATGTGAAGTATACAATGTTAATGCAAATGGAGAGGACATGTATTACACACGTAACACGTATTTTTTTCTAACAAACCACCTTGGATTTTTAACTTTGTTTCATAGGCAAATAAGGCTTATGAATCTGCAATTCCTGTCAGTAAGTTCCTCATTCCCTCCCAGATGGCTTTTTAACCTGAATGTGAGTCAAATTCAACAGGAGTAGAAGCCTGAAAGATGTGTCTACTTAAAGTTTAAGTCACTGGTCTACTACTGCAGCTGTATTTGTCTTTATTTTTGAAAGTTGCAGTCAGTAAAGTTCTGTGAAAACTAGGAGCTGAATAGTGAAAAACACCCTAAGAAAACCCCACCAAAAAAAAAGGACGTGGCCTTTATCATCATCATCTGTTTGGCAGCTGAAGGCAGGAGCACGTGCTGGCTCTTGCCCTAAAGATAGGATATAAAAGTAGGCAGATGTGGGAGGGAGCAGGGGTATTGCTTAATCCATAAAAGATGTGAGAAAAAGCTGAAGATACTTGGGTGGCTGGAGGTGTTGCAAAGGAAGACTGGGATGTGGGAGGGAGTTACAAGCGCCGTGCTTGGGCATCGGATGTGTGGGGAGGACAGAATATATTGCAAAATGGAGGGAGGCACATAGGCAACACTGGTAAAAAAATGGGATTATTGCACTGTGGTGGCATAGAAGATGATGTAAAATACAAATCTGCAGGAAACAATTTTCTACAGATCACAGAAACGTCCTGATGCTCCCACCTTTGCTGATTTGGGGGAGGGAGGAGTCATGGTGAATGGAGGGGGGTCCTAAAATAGTTTTCCTCTGCCAAATCCTCCACCTTCAATTTGAAGTTTCAATTGAAATTTCTTTCTCTTTTCCTCATGTTTTTTTATCATCTTCCCTGTCATTCTGATTTGGAATTTGTAAATATTACATCTTTTTTGTTTTCTAAGTTTTTAATTGGTTCATTTTGCTTCTTGCCTCTACACAACCTTGGCATCACGTTTTTAAGTTTTTGTTTTCAAATGCAAATACTAGAAATTTCTTTTTTCTTTCATGAAAGCTGTAATTTTTTTATAATCCTCTTGCTTCTAGGAGCTGCTTCTTTAGACAGAAGCACCAAACAACACAACATAACCGTGCATGTTACTCTTTTGTACAGGTATGAAACAGCTACTACAGTGGAACTTAACCACATTTGTTGGTATATGCTGAACTGCTGAATGCATCTGAAACAAACATGATAGAGTGTTCTTAGAAAGCAAGAAATGATTCCTTTCTGGATTTTCAGACGGGTTGAATAAACCTAGTTTCCATTAACTTCAAATGACTATTCAGGTCTTCAAAAATAGGTCCAAGATGCATAAACTAAAATGTCTACATATCAAAACTATTAAACCTGGATTTTGGGGTTTTTCCCTATGATTTTGTAAAATCTAACTAAGCAACATACATATACCTAAGATGACCTTTCCCTCAAGACTATGAAATTCAAAACTTTCTCAAAACCAGATCTCCCTGTACATACACACACAAAAGAATTACAATAACACATTGCTAGGTGTACCCCTATTTTAATGGTACACAGCTGTATTACAAGTTATATTAAACGTGAAGCGTGGTAAAGTTAAACAAAAATGCAATTTGAGTCTGCAATGAGATCTGACATTGTACCTTTCTTTTAAAAAAGGCCTTTTGTTTAATTACTGTTCCACAGTATGAAGTTCTAAATTTCATGCCCCACAAATAATCACAGGGATTTCCAATTGCACTAGGTGTAAAAATAAATACATGCATATTTCCTTGCAACACCTGGAGCCACAGTCAAGATCTAAATCACAGCCAACCTTGTCCTTTTCTGTTTTACTAGACACTGACTCATTACTGATACAAGGTGAAATTCTGCAAGTTAGAATAATCAATATGATCTGCTGCAGCTCCTGTAATTTCTTGGCAGCGTTCCACTGGAGATTTGACTCAGCCTCACCTGCCTAGCTTTTGAAATCTTACGGTCGTACAACACGAAGTGGTGTGGCAATTTGCCGTAAGATAGCGTAGGATATCCACTTAGAAGACATCTCAGACTTTTTTTTTGCGTTTATGAGCATATGCTTTAACCTTACCTACTTTCAAACACAGGGTTATCCCGGTAAGCACAAGTACTGTTTATCGTGAACGACTGATTGCGTGCATTGATTCTGCTTTCTAAACATAATCCATATTTCATTGTCATTCAAAGAAACAATGTTTTTTAAAGGTTACACCATTTGCATTGTACCTTGTAGAATTCACATAGCTTTGGCACGATGAGTACTCATTTCAAGTATAACTTCCATTGCATTATTATGCAGTTATGCGTGTGTATATATTCATATATGTGTGTATATGTATGTTTGAGCTATAAACATACATACAGGCATTGTGAAGAAATTGATTTGAAGTTCTTCCAAATTCTAAAATATTACAGTATCATTTTACTGACAATTCATAAACTAGTTCTAAAAAAAAAAAAAAATCTGTCTTTACAGTCCTAATGTCTTCCTCTTTTCCTAACACTGAAAGCAAAATCATGTACATGCAAAATGAGTTTTCTTTTCTTTGAAGGACAATTCATTATTTGGATGTAAAAACTAACGTAAAAAATTATATAACCAATAT